CCCACGCCACCACGCCCAGTCTCAGTCGCTGGCCCTCTCAGCATGCCCCCAGGGGCCGGGCTGGCACGGCAGGCCAGGGATTGAACCCCAGTTCCTGTGTCTGCCTAAGCAGGCGCATTAGCCCACTGAGCTATCTGGCCAGCCCAGGTCTTTATTTTTAAGATGAAAATGTTTTAGAAAAGTAGACAAGTCAAGGAATGTTTTAGAAACGTAGACAAGGGCCGGGGAGATGGCTCAGTAGAATAAGCGCTTCCCTGGAAAGCGCGAGGGCCTGAGTTCAATCCCTGGTTCTGAAAAAAAAAAAAAAAAGAAAAATAAAAAAGAAACGTAGACAAGCAAGGAAAAAGGGACCATCTGTTTTGGACAACTTGTGTATTAAAGGCTGTTTTATGTAAACACGGGGTTTTGAGCATGGAGCTGTAAGGTATTTCTGATGCACTCCACCAAGTTTATTGCATTACGAAGCCCTTCTTGATCATCAAGTTTATTATGCTCTGGAGGTGTCTGTGATTGGTAATTAAGAAGACACTCTGGAAGTACTTAAAATCAGAACTGCAGGTAATCCAGCTCATTCCATCAGTCTGGGCTGTGGCCGTTCAAGCATCTCCTTCCTTTAGCTTGCCCAGGATGAGGGTCTCCTCAGGTACTTATTGCCCACCTGATTTATTAGGATGAGGGGGAGCGCAGACAGAAAGGCAGAAGTAGTGGGAAGCCGAGCTTTGCTTTCCTCTTCCGCCTTGCGCTGGCTTCGGGTCATTTGTTTCTCAAGTAGCACATAGTATGAAGCGCCCAGTGTAAGACTTAGGCGTGATATGATTTATAATTGAATCGTATCACTCTGAGCTGGCTATTATTGAACTGTAAAAAAACTCACAAATCTCAATTCCACCTGCTTTCATTCACAGTGGGAGCAAGAGTGGGGGTGACTCTCACAGCGACAACCTTGAGTTCTGAAACCCAAGGTCATGATGCAGTTCCCTCTCTGTTCCCAGACAGGAGGGACAAGAGTGAGCATTGTGGGGTCCCTGTAATCCCAGCACTCAGGAGGCAGAGACAAGCCAGCCTGGGCCACATGGTGAGTTCAAGGCCAGTCGGGACTATATAGCGAGACCCTGTTTCAACAAAATATAATAATAAAAGAAGCTGGAGGATTGGGGATGCAGCTCAGTGGTAGAGTAAGGGGAGCATGCAAGAGGCCCTGAATTGAATCCTTAGACAGAAACAGAGACAGGCAGGCAGGCAGGCAGGCAGGCAGGCAGGCAGATTGAACCCCAAGCTGGTGAATGTGTCTATACGGAAAAAATTGAACAAGCAAAAAATCACCAACTCAGTTTCTCTAATACTCTCAATCCAACAATAGCAATAACCAGCACAGATAATCTCCCCCACCCCAATGCTGGGATTACAGGTGTGTACCACCAGGCCCGGCCTCAGCACAGACCATCTTGGGAACCAGATACATTAGGGGTGGAGGTGGGGAGGTGGCTCAGTAGAATAAGCGCTTGCCTGGCAAGCACAAGGGCCTGAGTTCAATCCCTGGTTCCACCAGAAAAAAAAAAAGTTTGCTTACTCATGTTGGGGCTGGGGAGATAACTCAGTAGAATAAGCAAGGCCCTGAGTTCAATTCCCGGTACCGCGGGAAAAAAAAAAAAAATTTGCTTCAGATCCATGTGGGTTTTTCCCCATACCAAGCCAGCAAGCAATGTGGCAGTGGGCAAGGCTGGTGTCTTCTAACTCCATTCAATTCTGAAGCCATCAGGACATGGAGGCAATATCAGACCCCCAAACTGCCACACCTACCTCCCAGGGCCACTCAGCACCAGCCCCAGGTGCTTCGGCCTGTATTTTGGACAGAATGACTGTGAACGGAGGTTCCCATGCTTTCTCCTTGGGTCCGACTTATTTGAGCAGTGCAGGAACCCAGGACAGAAGGTTCCTCCTTGCTGTGTGAATCCCATTTCAGCTTCTGCCCATAGGGGAGCAGGTTTGGTTCTGTCACCACCCGGGCCCAGCTGTGGTTCTCCACACTCTGGCTCAGTTCTGAAGATACTGTCCTGCTGGTGCTGGATGCAACACTCTGCTTCTTTCTCTTTTTTTTTTTTTTTGCGGAACCAGGGATTGAACTCAGGCCCTTGTGCTTGCCAGGGGAAGCGCTTATTCCACTGAGCCATCTCCTTGGCCCCTTCTATTTTTTTTTTTTTTTTTTTTTTAACCATGACTAGACAGTCACTTCCTTGGTGTCTACAGCAGCTTCCAGAACTTTCTTCAACGAAGAAGTGTTTTCTGGCTTCCATAGCCATCTTGACATAGAGTCCAAGCCAAGCTATGTGCCATCTACGTGGGCTCTTCTAGACACAAATGAGGTCACTGCTCCCCTGTGCCCCACATCCCTCCAGAGCTGGGGAAAAAGAAGAGCTAGGTGCTGGTGAGATGGCTCAGTGGTCTAAAGCACCTATTTAGAACAAGCTTAGCAAAGCACAGGGACCGCGGTTCAATCCCCAGCACCACATGCCAGCCAGCACCGCCCCCTGGTGGGCTGAGCTGGCCACACACACATACACAAATAAATAAATATTAAAAAAAAGAAAGAAAAAAGAAAAAGAAGAGCTAGGGCCCATCTCAGCAGCACACTAGGGATTCAGAAGGAGAGACACTCGCTAAACGACAAGTCAGAGTGCATCCTGACCAACTCCAAAGCCTACATCCATTGTCTAGTCCTGCTCAGACATATTTTAGAAGATGCTTGATGCTCTGCATAAATAAATGGAAAACAGCATTTTAAAATAAAGACTAGCTCAGTTATTTTCAGCCGTAGAAGAATTAATGACCCTGGCCCAAATAGAAATAAGTAGAAAGAAGTGCCCATGTTTTCCTGTAACCCAGGTTATATTCTGATGTTAAATGAATAGTCCCTTGAGTTTCAAGCCAGATTCTGCCTGTGCCCAGAGGAGGTCCACCTCTAGGTCAAGTGTGTGCACGTGCTGGGGTGGGACTAAGGGCCTCTTGCAAGCTAGCCAAGCACTCCCAAGACCTGCAAAATCTGCTGGCAGAGATTCCCATGCTGGTGCTGCACGTCTGTGACCCTTCCTCCACCTGAGCAGGCTCTGGGTTTTTAGCCCAGCATACGGCTGCCTGGGATGTGCCAAGCCCCCTGCTGCCCTTGCAGCCAGGTATGATCCAATAAGGCCCTGAGCTGTGAGATGAGCCACCCCGGGGAAGGCTGCGGAAGGCACCCAACAGCACAGCCAGCATGGCGCCCTCCCTTTCTTATTACTCTGTCCTATCTATCCTGCTGCTTGAATGTGGATGGAACAGCAGCTGGAGTTGAAGCCTTGCCTAGCATGCAGGAAGCTATGGGTCTGATCCCCAGCACCAGAAAATTGGAACAGCAGTGGCGTGTGGGCCCCCTTCACCTGAAGGCCCAGGAAGGGGCCTTGCTTCCTGAGGACACTGACAGTGGGCCACGGCCCACCACCGGTGCTTCTGTGAGGGAGACGCACAGCCCACACTGAGTGACCACTGGCTTTCGCTGCCTCACATGCAGCTCAATTCCATCCAGATTGGATCCAAGAAACTCTGTGAAGTGGACCTTAGGACACAGCTCCGGGTGGAAAAGCAACTCCAACCATCCTCGGTAGACGAAGATGTAGTCAAAGTGCTCTCGCTGGGCCTTTTCACAGCAGTCACTGGGAGAAAAACCAACGCAACAGCCCCAAAGGCCTTAATGAGACACCCAAGGCAGGCTGGGGTCCACCTTGGAAGTCACTAAGTTGCCAAGGGCAGGCTCCAACTCGTGATCTGCCTGCCCCAGCCTCCTTAGCTCTGCACGGCTGGTGGCAAACACAAACAAGTTCACCCTGGGGAGGCCTGCTCACTGCCAGGCAGGAGGGAGAAGCTGCCTCCAGGCTTACCTGCAGCACTGGAATACAAGCCATCTGCTTGAGGACTCCTCATCGCCTCACCTGGGCACATGAAGGTGCCTGACAGCTTCTGCCATAAGAACCACCTGCAGATTGGGCCGTGGTCTCTCTTCCTTCCATGGAGCAAGAGCTCAGCACTTGCTGACGACATCCTCTGAGGTTAGGTCTGCAGCAGATGCCCTGCTTGGCCTGCAGAGGGCCCAGGCCCACACTCAGAGAGTCAGAAACCACTCATGCCAACCCAAGAGGAGGAGACACCTTGGGTTCAGGTAACACATACCCACGGCTACGGAGAAAAATCAGCAGGCAGAGGAGGAAATACACTATTTATTTACAGTTCATTCACTTTATCCACAATTTCCCATACAAACATAAAAACTAAAAAAATAAAACCACCACTTGGGAACACAAGTGTCCTTCTTTGTAGCCTGGCTGAGGCCAGGGCTACCCGCTATGGAGGGGAAGGTGCAGGCTGGGAGGGACCTAACACACGTGGACAGGGTGCAGGTGTCCCAACTGGGACACTGTTGGTCCCTAGGAGGGCGACAGCTGCAAGCCTCCATCCCCCCACATCGCCACAAACACCAACAATGGGACATGGTCACACATCCCATGAGCTGTGCGGGCTGTGATAGTGACAGCAGAAAACACTCAAGGCCACCGTCTGAGAGGAGCCCCAGGGACACAGGAACCCTGCCCTTGGCACTGACAATGGCCTACAGTTCTGGCCAAGCCCACATCGCCTCTGGAAGAGGCAGGGGCTCTGCAACAGGGATGGGAGGGGGAGGGGGAACCTGGACCCTGGTGACCACAGACCCTGGCACTGGGACTCCGGCTGGAAGGGCACCCAGAACCCAGCCCCCAGCTGGGTCTGTGCCAGGGGCCTAGGATGCATTCACACGGGATGCACGATATAAATATAAACTCATATCTGCTACAAAGAGGACATATATTTGTACAACTTTACCCATATACATAATAACACAATTTACACATAATATCTTGGAGTGGGTCATCATGGAAAAAGGATTTGGAGAGGTGAAAAGCCCCTTCTCCCTCCCCACCCTGATCCTTCTCAAGGGACACTTGTCCACTTGGTCACACCGGGTCGGGCCAGTCTGGACACGGACACTGGGACTTGCGAGGACCGACCGAGCACACGCACACAGGTACCTGGTGAGAAAGGGAAAGGAAATTCCTAGCCCTTGGTGCAGGCCTCTTCCCAGAGCCGGGAGTGAGGCACCTCCTCCGCCCAGAGCAGCAGGGTTGCCACACTGTCCCGCCAGCCGGGCTTCTGAAGACATAAGGCATATCTGACCCAGGCTCCGGCAGAACTGAGTCACAAAAACCAACCTCAGCAGAGACTAATTCTCCCATGTCTTAGGCATGTGAGACATTTTGTTGGTTTTTCTGGTTTAAAAAGAAAATAAAAAAAAAAAAAAAAAAAAGAAAAGAAAAAAAAAATGTGACCGTATCCCTTGGGGCCTGGTGGTAAGAGACAGCAGTTCATGGGGGGACAAGGGAAGTGGGGACCCTGCGCCGCCCCTTCTTCGTCGTTTCCTGGAACATGGGGACGACCCTGTACCTCTTTTTGTGTCCTCTCCCGGAGCTGGGCCCAGGCACACGGTGTGGAATACTGACAGTGGCCGAGACACAGCCACATGGTGGACACCAGTGTTCGGCCCAGGGTGGCTGGGGGGTTTTGTACAGCAGGAGGGGCTCCCAGAGTCAGGTCGCCCTCTTCCAGACGGGGCGCCAGCCCCGGGGAGACAGCACCTATCGGCGGTAGTGATTGGGAGCATCGGCAAACATGTACTTGAGTCTGTAGGCCTCAGCCAGCAGCAGCCCGATCTCCTCATTGCCCCAGTGGATGGTCGGGAGGTTCTGCAGCAGCATCAGGAGGCCCTGGAACACAAGGGGGCTTCCATGGCTTCCGGGCTGCAGGAGACACGGCGGGAAGCGGCCTCCTCCCAGGCAGCTCGCGGCGCCTGGCCAGCTCTCCACAGGCAGCCCAAAAAGCCTCTGCTGAGTCTCGATTCACTAATCCTGCCTCTAAAAACACTACCAAGGTGACAACATACTTGGAAGAGAGAAAAACAGTCACCAGCCAACTACACTTCCCGCCACCACAGGGCTACACCACATAGTCCAGGCTGGCCTTGAGCTCGAATCTTCCTGCCTCAGCCTCTTGAGTGCAGGGATTACAGACAAGAGCCGCAGCACCGAGCCCAGCCACGTTTGAGGTATGCTTTTTGGGTTTTTTTTCTACATGTATTTCTTTAAACAGTCACAGCTGCTGCCTCATCCCCCTTTCTCTTTCTCAGCTGGAGAGTCTTACTTTTCCAATCACTAAAGTAATGGCTGGAAGACCCAAAGCCCAGAAGCCAGGAAGAAACTTTTGGGCTTAATTATCCACAAATTTGTAACCTCGATGCACCAAGAATCACCACCAACGAAATTAAAGTGTAAGAAACCACCGATGAGGAAACAGCTACCCACCAATAAAGGATCAAAGACTAATATCCACAACCAATAGGGAATGTCTGTAAGTTGCTGAGAAAAACCACCAAGTGAGAGCTGGAGATACAGCTCAGCGGCACGGCGCCTGCCCGCCAAGGTGGAGGACATGCATGCGACTTCTGAGCATCACCCCTCTCCTCCCTAGAAAGGTGGCCTGACTGGAGGTGTCTCCTCCCACGGGACTAAACCCTTGAAAAGAGACAGAACAATAGAAGGGAAGACACCCAAGGCCCTGCCGCTCTGGGAGCACTGCCGCGGTACTGGCCCACTCAGGCCGCCACTTTTAGTTCCAGGAGGTGAACAGTGATCTTGCTTTAAGCCAGGATCCTTTAGGGACCTTGGTCACCGTGGATAATTTCACGTCCTCCTCACACATGCAAGCTGCATCTATGGAATCAGAAAGGCACGGCTGGGCTGGGACACAGCTCGGTGGCAGGGTGCTGCCCTTGCATGCACAAGGCTGTGGATCTGACCCCCAGTTCAGCCAAAGGAAAAGGAGAGGTGAAGAAAGGCACAAGGTCTTTGAGCCAGTCCCTCTGCTCTTGCATCCCTGCCTGGGGGACACTCATGTTCCAGTCCTGCCCTACCCTCTGCTTCACAGGGGAAAGTGAGAGGAAAGACCCAATGGGGTGGGCACAGTCCTGCCACATGACAGGCAGGACAGCACAACCGAGTAGGCCTGTGAGGACTAAGGTGGCAAGACCTCAAAGACACATTATGGGGGTAAGAGAGGGAGCTGCTGGAGACCATTTACAGCATCATCTTCTTTTTTATGTGTTTAGTACAGAGTCCTCGGGGTCTCACTACACAGATTGGCTCTATGATCTTCCCGTGTTCAGCCTCCCAAGTACTGGGATTACAGGTGCATGCCACCACGCCCAGTCTCAGTCGCTGTCTCAGTGCACCCCGGAGGCGGGGCCGGCACAGCACACAGGGGATTGAACCCCAGTCCCTGTATCTGCCTAAGCAAGCACTGTAAACCACTGAGCTATCTGGCCGGCCTATAGCATCATCTTAGATTAAAGAAAATGCACACCCTTGCACCTGCACATATATATAATTCAGGAGAGCAAGGGGACACACTGTGAGCAGTGGTTAAGTAACTTTTCTCATCTTTATCTTCTGAGGTAAAGTCTTTGTATATTACTTGTGTGATAGAGTAGTTCTCTTGAATAACACATACCCTGAAAGTTTCATGAAGTAAAAAATAAGGCAGAAAATTAACCATAGTATGGCCAGCAGGAAGCCACACTTAAACATATTTTTTTTTTTTTGCTTAAACATATCGGCCAACTTCCTTCCAGCTCTTTCCTGCATCTTTTACACAGTTAGTGTGAAATTTATTTAGCATTTATCATAAGCATTTCCTTCAATATTACAAACTCCTGTAGAGATTTCCAATGGCCAAAGAATTTTTCATGCAGTAAGGTATACAATTTACATCCTCGTGTTCTCAGCATTTAATTACTCGATTTTGTAGGGTAACAAAATTATAAGCAACACCTTCGTGCATGAAGTCCTACCTTAATTATTTCTTTGGACTTAATTCCTAAAAATGGAATGTCATCAACATGTACTAATAAAAATAAAAATATCCCTAAAAATGGAATGATGGTGTCAAAGGACACAACACTCTAAAAGTACTTAACATTCATCCAGAAATTATATTCCAGAAGCGCACTCATCCGCTAGTGTTCCTCCAGGACTCAGTAAACTCTACAGACCCATCAGCAGTAATCTGCCCCCAGATGCCCAGCCCAAGAGCAACCCGGAAGCCCAGAACCATACTGGCAGTGAGGGGCCTGGCGCGGCACTGCTCACAGCTGCAACCGCAGGAGCTCCTGAGGCAGGGTGTTCCAAGCTGACCATTACCTAACCCACTACAATCATCTACACCTGCTTCAAGAACTGGTATTCTACTAAGATGGAAAATGCAGAAGAAATAGACAGATTCCTACATAAACACGAATTACCAAAACTGAATCAAGATGATATAAAAATTCTAAATAATGCAGTATCAGTCAGTGAAGTTGAAGATGCACTTAAAACCCTACCAACAAAGAACAGCCCAGGCTTTGACAGATTCACAGCTGAACTGTACAAGACATTAAGAAAAGACCTAATGCTGCTACTTTTCAAATTCTTTATGAAACTGAAACGAAAACAATACTCCCAAAATCATTCCTGGAAGTGGGCATTACCCTGATACCAAAACCAGAGAAGGATACAACCAAGAAAAGAACTATAGGCTAATCTCCTCAATGAACATAGATGCAGGGGCCAGGGGCTCAATCCCCAGGCCTGCCTTACCAGCCCCCCCCCAGGGCGCACTGAGCCGGCAACGGAGACTGGGCATGGTGGCACGAACCTGTAATCCCAGCACTTGGGAGGCTGTAAACAGGAGAATTGAGCCTGATCTTGAATTGAGACCCTGAACGCCCTGTAGATCCCTCCCCCCCAAAAAAAATTAGGATTAGGAGTTCATTTGACCCAGGTGTTCCCCTCCTTGATATTTTCCCCAAAGAATTAAAAGCATCATGCTGCAGTCATATATGGCCACTCATGTGTAAAGCAGCATAGCCCGTAATAGCCAAATCTTGGAAGCAGCCCAGATGCGCATCAACTGATGAACGGAGAAAGATGTGGGTGTTTTCTGCAATGGAGTACTACACTGCCATAACGAAGAATGAACTCAAGACACTTTAACCAGGAAGATGCACTCTGAGCTCATACTCTTAAGTACAATCAGTCACATGTATGTAAATACCATTTTTCTCTGGAGAAATGGAAAGTGTAAAAAAGGACCAAAGTGTATTACTGATGCTGTGAAACAGGAATAAAATTTTCAAATAGGAAGGGGAACTGGGGGGTGGGAGGGGACAGGAAGGGACAAGAAAAAAGTGATGATGAAAGAAGTGACAAATGGAAACAAAGCTTTGTAAATACGGAGAGGAACAAGAGTTGAAAAGAGGGTAGGGGAACAGGGAGAAATAATCCAAGTTATATCATGTACAAGTACAAATTCCCTATAATGAGTGAGATCATTATGTACAACTAAAATGTACCTATAGGGCTGGTGAGATGGCTCAGTGGTCTAAAGCACCTACTTAGAACAAGCTAAGCAAAGCACAGGACTGCAGTTCAATCCCCCAGCCCCACATGCCAGCCAGCCCCGCCCCCTGGTGGGCTGAGCTGGCCACACACACACACACACACACACATAAATAGTACCAATAAACTTAATAAAAATGGCTCGAAAAATATACATAGTATAGTTATCAAAATGTTTTAAAAAATAAGTGGGTAGGCCGGGGAGATGGCTCAGTGGAATAAGTGCTTCCCTGGCAAGCACAAGGACCTGAGTTCAATCCCCGGTTCCGGGGGAAAAAAAAAAAAAAAAAAAAAGTTAAAAGCAATATTATTTTGGGCTGGAGAGATGGCTCAGTGGTCTAAAGCACCTACTTGGAACAAACTAAGCTTAGCAAAGCACAGGGACCACGGTTCGATCCCCCAGCACCACATGCCAGCCAGCCGCGCCCCCTGGTGGGCTGAGTTGGTCACACACACACACACACACACACACAAAAAAAAAATAAATAAATGTAAAAAAAAAATTAAAAAAAAAATAAGTGGGTAATATTTACCTCTGCATGACAATACTTCAGAGACCCAGGCTTTTTCCTATTAGAATTTTTTCGTTTTTCTACAATGGTTATATACATTTTTGTAACTGACAAAAACAACCCATTACGGGGTGTGCCCTCTGGGACAGGACAGGCTTTGCTGGGCTGGGAGCCACTGTACTTCCAATTCTCCTACCCTGAAGCCTGGAAGAAACTCCCAACCAAGGCCACCGGACCGCGAATCTTCCACTCCTGGGCTGAGCTGTAAGGAGCCGCTCTGCCATCTGGTGGCAACGAGGGGGAACTGCAACTCCCCGCCCCCACTGAGGCCCAGAGCAGTGCAGCAAATATGGGAAAAAGCCTTTTTTAAAAAATGGAGGAATTGAATAACCACAGCTGGGAACAAAGGTGTTAATCACAAATCAAGAGCTCTTATCTAGGGGTAGATAAAAGCCTGCCAAGACAAGGAATGGCTGAAGATTTGTTACCAAGTCAGTTCATGGGAGCATTCAGCTTGACAAGCAGTCAGATGAAATCAGAGACCAGATCATGGGGAGGAAGAGACAGCTCACAGGGCAAGCTCTGGGAGAGCGGATTTCAGTAATGGCAAGGGCCTTCCTAGAAGGAAGGCTTGCCGGCAGAAGACGGCCTGCTGGGCGTCCACAGACCCGCAGGACAAGGCAGTAGGTGGGGCCCTAGGCAAGGACTGGAAGCTCACAACTAGGCCAGAGGCCAAGGGAGGGGTCTGCAGGTACTGAGAGAGACCTGGAGGGGGGACGGTAGGCTCCGACTGCTTCCCTGTACTCTGCACTGATGTGCTTAACCCTCGCATCAACTCTGTGTGACTGGCTCCATTTCACAGATGAAACCGAGGAACAGAGGTGCAGGAACTTGCCCAAGGCCACAGAGAAGTGCCCGGCTGGGGTCCGAACACAGTGCATCTGGCTGGGAAGCTTGGGTTTAAACAGTTGTACTCTGCTGCCTGCTGCAGTGAGAAAGAAGCAGGGCTGGAGGTCCGAGAAACAAGAGGGGAAGTCCCAGAGGAGGTTGCTAGAGGGAAATGCAGCCCTGGTTAATTTTACTCAGCAATAAGAGCCAGCGCAGCCCAAGAGTGAAGAGCAGAGCCTCAAGGGGGCAATGTGTTCAGGAGACGCGGAGTGCAGATCGCTGACCCATCAATCGCCAGACACTTGCTGCAGACCGGAAGCATGTGCGGGCTGCTGGAGCACTCCCAAGCCAGGGAGCCGCCTCTGCCTCCTGAGAGTCAGGCGGTGGCAAACAGGCCTCCTGGCCCCACAGCCACCTTTCCACGCCACATCCTTGCCTACAAACTTCCTGAGCTGGACTGGAGTTCGCTGGCCTCTCCTGAGCTCAGCACCGGGTGCGCTGGGCAAGATTCCCCTCCAACGAAGCCAGGCTCTCCATCTGCTGCTTGTTTCTGTCACATGTCCAAGAATTGCGCCCCACCTTGGGCCAGCCTGCTCTAGGTAGGAGCGTTTCAGTTCCCAGGGTCTGCTGGGGCCCTTTTCTCTGCAGGACTCAAGCTGGCAGATTACCCAAGCTAATTTGGGAAGACAGGGCCTATGCTTGGGCCATGTCCCCCATGTGCATCCGAGGGGTCCTGTGGGGGCCCTGTGTGAAGATGCCTGGCTGGAGGCATTTATTTGTTTCTCGTTTGTCAGTGAGCCTAGAGTGGCCCAGCAGCCTACGTGACTTCACTTAGTAACTCTGACTAGTCCACTACCAAAGACCCTGCAGCCACCTGTCTACCTGCAGAGCCCGAAGGCCTGAGCATTCGCCCACGCCATGGACCCCATGTGTTGCCAGTGTTGCTCTCCCAAGATGACTGCAGAGTGACCAGGTGTTCGCCAGGTCCCAGTGCTCTGCTCTGTGCTCACCCCGACTCCAGAGGGCCCCTCTTCTGCACACCCTGCTCCCAGTGCCTGCGCTGGAGCTGCCCCCTCCGCCCAGAGCCCCTCTGTGCCTGGCCATGCCGACCCCGCAGGCCGCCCCCACACCCATGCAGAGCCCACCACGTCCATGACCTGTCTCACTGGCACATCCTGCCCTTGCATGTTCACAGCCAGGGTGGGCCATGGCTGTGTGGGACTGGAACTCACCCTCCTGGGACCACTAGGCCCACCCTGAGCACAGCCCTGAAGACGCTCTTATCGCCCATCCCTACACTTCTTCACACCTGTGCAGCCTCACACTCTGGGCATGCGGCCATTGTGTTTACAGAACTTCAGAATGGAGGCTGAGGCAGGACTGCATGATTGAGTCCAGCCTGGGCAATTTAACAAGCCCCTGTCTCATATTTTAAAAAATAAATAAATAAAAAGGCTGAAACGACAGTTCAGAGCAAAGGCTCAGGGTTCAATCTCTGGCACCCTGAGGTCTCTCGGACCTTGCTTGTGGATCACAGTGTCACCACCTGATTTCCTCAGGCATGGCACTGCCCGAGGCCCTCGGGTGGGCTGTCCCCTCCACCCACAACCTTCCTCCTCCTCCCGGGCTAGGCCCATTCTCACCTTCTGCTTTCCCAAGCTTCCCTTCTGTGTGACCACAGGCAGCTGATCTGACTTTATTTGAAACTGCAGCTTATCCCTTCCCTACCACCTAGTAAGTCTTCATAAAATACTTCTAGCTGGGTATGGTG